CATCTCTTCATTTTTATGTTCACTGTTGTGGAGGACCTAAAAATGCAAAAAGGAATTTAACATTTGGTACTAGAGTGAGTGTCTTACTCTTGGACAGAAAGCCAGGAATCGATCTTTCCCTCTCTGATGAGTTCAATGCCCTAGTGCCAGAGGCAAGTGGCTCTCTGTGGACCATGGTTTCCAAGAGGGATTTATTCTTTTGGTTAGCTGATGTTGATGCCATGAAGAGTCTTCGGTGGGTCTTCAAAGAGCCTTGTGATAGGCAAGTGGGGCACAGGTCACTTCCCCCAAGGATGTTGTTCCTTGATTGAGTTGGTGGTGGGTGGAGGATCTCCAGACAAAGACTAGACACACGATCTGGTCCATGTTCCTGCTGTGCCTGGAAAGTGCCAGTCCACTAGGATGCACTTTGAGTTGTATCCTGAGTTTTGAAGAGTGCTTTGTTGTCCTCACAGACCTCATTTCCATCCTGGTCAGCTTTACCTCCTCTGGTAGCACACAGACACATTAAAAGACCAGGTGCATGAAACTGGGGGCTGTCTTTTACAGTCTCGAGAGACAGGCAGGATCACAGCAGTGCACTGGGACTAAATGCATTAATAATTTTGAGGTGTCAAGTTACTTTATTAGAGCCATGAAAGTGTTTTAAGTAGAAAGATTGAATGCTTCTCCCTCTTTCCTTTTTTACTTTTTCCTCTCTCTCTTTTCCCTTTTATTAGAGTTGCAGCTATTATGCCTTTTTGCTTTTTTTTTTCTTTTGTTTTTCTCCCAGACTTTGAGATATTTAGGGTTTGCTGCAAAATTGAATTAATTGAGACAATTGACTACACCTGCTTGCAGAAAAGCCATTTGGAGCTTCAAATTAGTGTGAAGTAATTAATAGGCAAGGAATATAAACATGGGGAACAAGAGCAGATTTCACCAGGAGTAAATGTAAAAATATTTCTTTAGATGCTTATGCCATACGTGTTGCCTTGGACCTGTAGCTGTTCCCTTCAAATGGGATTAGTTCCATACTGGTAGAGACAAAACTCTACCATTGACAGCTGAGGAAGTTAGTTTCTCCTGGCCCTCGCCAAGGGGGTTCTGCTAGGAAGGGAATGGGGAAAATAACAGGGAACCCTAGAAGTGGTTTTGATGATATCCAATTAACAGCGTGGAGGATAACCAATTTGATGCACTGTTTGGTAACATCGCTGCCGCAAGCTTGTCCCTGCATCCAACATCCATAATATAATTAAAATTCACCCACTCCCAGCCGTGGCATCACATGTGTGTTGCGGTGGGATATGCAAAATATTTACTGTGTCTTGGCAGCCTCATGTTCCTTCTTGGGGGAACATAATATTTTAGCACTCACTTTATGAAGTAGAATGTGTTTCATTTTTTATTAGACACAACTGTGTTTCACGTTCGCTTTTGCTCTTTCACAGCCTAAGCATGTGAAGGAGCTGGCTCTTCACTTAGCTTGCAGCACAGATGCTTTCCACTTTGCTTTCCACTGCTGTTTCTAAATTGTCCTGCTTGTCTGCTTGAACTGTGGAATCCTCCATGAATAGTTAAAACCCTCTCTGCTTGTGGTAGGGAAGCTCTAAATTGGAGCAGTGGTTGAAAACATCATCCATGCTTCTGTTTTCTTTCTTATTTTTTTTTCTTTTCTCTCTCTTTTTTTTTTTCAATTGAAAGCAAAAGAAAACCAGAGCTGCCAGCATGCTGCAACATGAGATAAAAAATCCATGGGCAGAGTGGGAAATTGTAAACCAGATCCCATGCAGTTTTATCAAACGAGCATCACATTTTCGAGGTAATTGTCTGGAAATGTTGGCCAAAGGTTGCATCTACCTGCGTCTTTCCTGCTTGTGCTTGGTTGGGGCATGGGGTGACATGGGTTCCTCTGGTAGAGATTTATGAATTGAGACCATAAACTGTCAAAGGGGAGTTCATCTCGTAGGCCTCTTGTAACTCACTAAAATAAATATCACTGTGCTGAGGCTTAAAAAGTTAAGTGCTTCCCTGTCCTTACGGTATGATTCTCACACATTGCCCTGTCCTGTTTTGCTCTTTGCTCCTCTTTGCTCTTTTGTCCATTACATGGACCCTTGCCATTACATGGGTGCCACAGTATAGGTGTGCCCTATCCTCACCTTGAAAAACACCTCATTTATTTCTTCTTTTAGAGTTATTTGGCATTTGACATGCCACCTTAGAAATGCCTGTGAGACAACTGAGCAGTGAAAAATCTCATGAAATTCAACACGGCCAAGTGCAAGGTCCTGCACCTGGGGAGAAATAACCCCAGACACCAGTACAGTCTGGAGACCGACCTTCTGGAGAGCAGCTCTGCAGAGAAGGACCTGGGTGTCATGACGGACCACAACTTGACCATGAGGCAACAGTGTGCCCTCGTGGCCAAGAAGGCCAATGGGATCCTGGGGTGCATTAAGGAGAGCGTCTCCAGCAGGTTGAGGGAGGTGATCCTGCCCCTCTGCTCAGCCCTGGTGAGGCCACATCTGGAGTCCTGTGTCCAGTTCTAGGCCCCACAGTACAAGAGGGATGTGGAGCTGCTGGAGAGAGTCCAGCACAGGGCTACAAGGATGGTCAGAGGCCTGGAACATCTGCCCTATGAGGAGAGGCTGAGGGAGCTGGGCCTGTTCAGCCTGGAGAAGAGAAGGCTGAGAGGGAATCTAATCAGTGTCTATAAAGTACCTGAAGGGAGGGAGTGAGGAGAATGGTGTTGGCCAGGCTGCAGTGATGGCCACTGACAGAACTAGAAGAAATGGCCACGAACTGAAGCATCAAAAGTTCCACAGGAACTTAAGGAAAAATTTCTTGACAGTAAGGGTGACAGAGCACTGGAACAGGCTGCCCAGAGAGGTTGTGGAGTCTCCTTCTCTGGAGATCTTCAAAACCCACTTGGATGCAGTCCTGTGCCACGTGCTGTAGGTGTCCCTGCGTGTGCAGGGGTTTGGACTAGATGACCTCTAGAGGTCCCTTCCAACCTTAAACATTCTATGATTCTATGATTCTATGATGTAACTCTGCATGGGAGCGTATGGAGCTCCATTTCAAGGGATTTTATTTGGAAATTTTGTTAAAATAGTATCTCTTGAGGGGTGCTTATATTCAAGGGTTTTTCAGAGTTTCCAACCCTGAGTTGTTTGATTGCATCATGGTTCATCCAAGGCTGGATTCAGTGAGGTCCACAAGATCATTGGGCCAGAGCAAGGGTCCATCTAGACCAACTCAGTATTTCTAAAGCTGATGTATATTTAAGGAAAGGAGAAAATTAAAATACATAAATAAAGCAAAACACATTAATTTAATAAAACTTGTCTCATGTTAGTCTCAAGTGAAGTTCCTAGGGGATGCCTAAGCACAGGCTGATTTCTTGACACAGTTCTGCATAGAGAGAGAGAAAAAAAAAAAGGATGTATGGAACAGCTGATTTAGGAGCAACTTTGGAAAGAGAAGATGGGAAGAATCTCTAAGAAAGAGACCCTGGGCATTTTGGGAGACTGATCTATGACCATATAGGGTCATAGGGGTGAAGCTGAATCGTCTTGGACAAATGTTCCTGCAAGTGAGGTCATCTCCACTTGAAAGATCTTCCCCTGGGAGAAGCAGTGGAATATCCATGGATGATGCTCTTGGGATGTGGGGCTCATCTCGAAACTCTGGAGGACACATCGTCATCTCCAGTCTGAGCAGCACCTTATGGAGAGGTTTTCTTTTTGCTCAATATTTTGCCCAATATGTTTTTTTTTTTTTCTCTCCTTGCTCCGTTGCCGACTTCCCTCTGTCGTGAATGCAGGTTAGGAGTATGATATTTAACAGCTTAGGACAATCTGGTTAGAGGAAGCAGAATATGTTGAGTCACTGTCCACTGACCCAAAAATATAATTCACAGCTTCTATTAGAAATTGTGCAGCAGTTCATCTCAAACGAGTGAACACTAATATTATGACTGTTTAAATACACTGTAGTGTGTTTAGATACACTGTAGTGTGTTTTGTGGACAAGGCCTATGGTTTGGGTTTAGCCAAAGTTTGAGTTAGACCAGCTTCTGGGAAACCTACAGTGGGGAGCCAGAATGGAGTTAAACCCTGGGACAATCCACTACCTCAATCCATTAATGTCTAATAAGCATTTCAATGAAAGGGATGATGCAAGGCTGTTTTTTCAGTGCTAGGTGCAAGTTTCTGGACGCCAAGTTGTATCTCTTTGGGGTGTGGTGCTCATGTTTCAGGTCTCCTTTCATGGTTTCTGGGACTGCGGGATGTGTGGCTCAAATGTCCATGCTTAAATCTCAGTTGCTTGGATGAGGCTTCTCCTGCATCCTTGGTCAGCTCTCTTCATTCTTCTGAAAGAAGAAGCTAAGTAGGGGGCATTTTAACTCATCATCAGTCAGGCATTAGATATTTGTGGCAAAGCCTTTCTGTCAGTCATGTTTATATACTACCCTGAATGTGAAGGCTCTGGCTTCTAGCTTAGCCTCTACCTGTCATTTTTTAACATCTTTTCTTCAGTTACATGGGAATATGGTACAATGGGGCCTTGTTCTTCTTAAAGACCATAAGGGAAATCCTTTGGATTTGTTTGTTTTAGAGCAGGGACCGGTATGTCCTAAGTTTCCTCGCTTCCTCATCCCTTTTTTCCACAAGAATTTGGCTTTCCAGAGAAAAATCCATATTCTTTGTGAGCCACAAGTGCTCCACACCCATGTTACTCCCTGATGTCTCCTTGTGTTTGCTAGGACTGTGATGAGATGGTGTTTTGCAGGGAGATGCAGGCTGGCTTTGCCTCCTCACTGAGATGATTGTGACAACTTGTAGCTGTTATTGCAACTACCTGTATTTAGATAATATTTAATTTTTCTAGGTCTGCTCTGTCACAAATGTTCTCTGCTGGGCATCCTCTGTCAGATATTGTGAAGTGAGTTCCTTCCAAAGTGGTAGGTTGTCTTAATAACTGACATATCTTCTCCCTTTCTGTCTTTGCAGCCACCCAGATTGATCCCAGTGAACTGCAGGAGCTTTTTCAGGAGACTTCAGCCAACGTCTTCCGAATCAACTCCAATGGTGCGTATAATGAAGGGTTTCCTCCTCAGCTGTGTCCTGTCCTGCTGATGACTCATGTGTGTGTACATGGTATATGCCAGGTCCTGTCCCCAACAAGCAAATATTAATACTTTTTTTTTTCTGCAGCATATGTACAATGCACAGTTCTGTATGAGATGTAAAAATATTCCACCATATGTTGCATTAAACAGGCATAGACATATTCCAATCCTTGCTGAGACCACATCATTTTCTATTTTTAATTGTGTCATCTGTTACAATAGGGAGTTAGAAATCAGAAGGGTGGAACAAGCCAAACACGTTTTCTAATGTGTTGTACTGCTACCATGTTTGGAGCCTGTCATATGAGCTTGCAAAACATCAGTCGTCTCCTTTGTGAAAACACCAACACCAAAACTCTTGTATTATTCTTTACTCTATAGATTGAGTGGGGATGCTGTTTCTCCTCGTGTCTCCTTGAACACTGGAGATGCAGAGTGGGAGAATAACTCTTCCTATTGGAGATCCCACTTGCTCTGGATCATCGAGATTTCTAGGATTGAGCTGGAGGGCTGTATTTTGCAGACAGACATAGATTAACATTGCTGAATGGTAGTTAACGTAATGATATCCCAGTTCTAAAATACATTATGGCCAAAAATAATCTAAATTATGAGGTGCTGATGTTATAGCAGACTTTGAATTTCTGAATGGCCTGGGCAGCTTCTTTCTAAGGTCTGTTATATGTCTGTGGGCCTTGGGAAGGGATTGAATAAGAGACAGGGCTGGGGTTAGTGTAAAGAGAGGGTCTTTCTCCCTTTGCTGTTGTAACCACTCACATCTCAGAGGTAGGACCTTAGTCCTGCAACAAGATACCTACAGTGAGAAGCAAAGAGCTTCAGAGGAGTCAAAGCTGCCTCCATTTCTCTTTAGCACTTTGTGAGAATATCAGAGAAGTTTCAGGATTCACTGCTGATGGAATGATGGTGTCCCGTGCCAAAAAAGCACGGTCCAGTGGTGGTTGGGCGTATTGACTCAGGTTCATCTACACCCTAATGGCTTTGGTCACTGCCTGCATCCCATATTAGGTGTCTGTTTGAGTGTGAAAGCTTGGCTAGGAGAGCTATAAGCTGTCCTCGTGCCAGTTGCTGTCTGATGATAAGAGTGAGTGCCAGGGAGTAAAAACCCTATGTGTTTATCCAGTGCCAGCAGCGTAGGCATTGAAAATTATCTGGGCAAAAGGCAATTGAGAGAAGGATGAGAGTAAGACTTCTAAAATATAGTCCTCTGTTGTTTACTGGGATTCTTGAATGCTACAGAGTGGTCATGTCTCCATCTGCCAGGCAAACACAAGCACCAATTTTTCTATGATCACATCAGATTGGTAGGTTCAAGTTTGCATTTGACAAACATCACCTTGAGTCAGAGCTTCAAGTTCTCCTGCAGCACGGATATACCTCACTCAAGTATGGGGACCTCATGCTCTCCACTATACCACAAGGCAAAGACAAGGGCCTGAAAGGAGGCCATGGGTAGGCTTCATGAAGATGTTCAAGTGCCCAATTTGCTGTAAATTCAGAAGAAAAAAAACTTGGATCTTCTTTTGAGCCTAAGGATGAAAGAAACCCATGCAACAGGCAAGGAGAGAGGCTGTCTGGTTAGAAAGCAATTTTGCAGGAAAGACTTTGCGGGTACTGAGCAGCAGCAAGGTGGACATGAATTACAGAGATATTTTCTGCATCTGATGGGAGAGTGTGGAGAAAGTGAAACCAGACTTCTTTTTGACATGAACAGTGGAAGGACGAGAGGCAGTAGACATAATTTGGAATGAGAGAAAATCCTTCACAGAAAAGAAGCTGAGAGATTCAGTTACAGAAAGTCATCTTGGGGTTGCCTGTGGTATTTGACACTTACTAGTGATAGGATGGATAGTGCTTAGAGCACAGTACAATCCTATGTTTCAGAAGGTGGAAAAACTCCTTGAGAAAATTCCAGAGCTGTGACCTAGCTGGTGGCTGCTGTGGAGAGTTGAGCCTCTCAGGTATGTTCACCAGTATTCAACTTTGCCTGTGGATGGGGCCATGCCTTGTATTGTAATGCATGGAAGTACCAGAATTAGCACTGATCCATCCCTGATAATGATACTCTGTCCTGAGTACTGTAGGCTTGTGGTGTTAAACATGAAGCCAAGGCAGAGCGAAGTTTTGCAACCTGCTTGCAAGTCTGCGTTTATTAATACTCAGTAACTAGGTTACTAGGGTAGCTAGGTTAAGATTAATTTGGTGAGCCCCAGTGCTGTAATCACAACATGTTGCTGTCATGGAGTTTATCCTGAGCAAGGCATCATTTTGAAATGCTAGAATCCAGTTGCTGTTTTTATTCTTCTTTGTAATCGCAATAATCCAAATTCAGTTAATTTTAGACTAATTTCTGGTGATGTTGAGCTGGTTGTTTTCTGCTAGGTTGCCTATACTGAGTTCTCCCTGAAACAGGTAATGATGATGTCTGCACTTAAACTATTTTAGAAAATTGGAGAGGGTACAGATAAGAGCTATCGCAACTGTTTGAAGTCTACAAATCAGACTTCAAAATGCGTGCTATGGGGACTTCTGTGTGAGACATCTAAGAGGACTTGATCACGGTCCATAACTACATCTGGGGAAAGAAAAACATCAAATAGATAGTGTAGGGCTCATTAATCTAACGTTCTGATGCATAACGAGATCAAGAGATAAGAGTCAAAGCTAGACAAATTCAATCTTTTGGTATGAGGATAACTGGCCATTAGAAGTGCTTTCTGACGAGGCGTGATGGATTTGGCATTGCTTGGAAAGTTAAATCAAGATTCAGATGTCTTTTTATAAGATGTACTTTAGTCCTCAAGTCTGCGGTCTTGATGTACGAGTGATGGGACGAAATTTTTGCTGGGAAATCAGATTGGATAATCAGAATTGCTGTCTCTGGCCTTTAAAATCTATGAATCTATGAATTTATAATGCTTTTTAAAGTGCTTTTAGGTTGAAGAAATGCCCATAATATACTGTACTGTTGTTGCTCTGCTCACCACCCATATTATTTTTTGTCTGCTAAAGTCAGTTTGATTCACTGAGCTTGTGTCTTCTTTATAGTAATCTTCACTCAAAATGGTTACAGCTTTGTCTGGGAAGGGGATGCTGAATGTTGGCCCAAGATCTGAGAGAGCTGGGCCTGTTGAGCCTGAAGAAGAGAAGGCTGAGAGGAGCCCGATCAGTGTGTATAAACACCTCAAGGGAGGGAGTGAAGAGGATGGGGCTGACCTCTTTTCAGTGGTGGCCGCCGAGAGAACTAGAGGTAATGGCCACAAACTGAAACACCAAAAGTTCCACAGGAACTTAAGGAAAAATTTCTTAACAGTGAGGGTGACAGAGCACTGGAACAGATTGCCAAGAGGTTGTGGAATTTCCTTCTCCGGAGATCTTCAAAACCCACTTGGACACAGCCCTGTGCCAAGTGCTCTAGGTGACCCTGCATGTGCAGGGGGATTGGACTAGATGACCTCTAGAGATGCCTTCCAACCTTAATGATTCTATGATCCTAGGATCCTGCAAAGCTAGCAAATATTAGGTAAGGGGACTGATAGGGTTATGAAATGGAAGAGAAGCCCATGATCCCATCTGTGCCTTATGGTCTCTTCAGTTAACCCTGCAAGTTCCATCAGGAAGCACATAGCAAAAGTCAGTGCTATCATTGGTGGACGACCAGTTGGTGGTGGAGCAAGGAGCAGAGCTTCTGTGTTGCAGAAGCTCGTCAGATGACATTGTGCTCCTCTTGCACTGCGCTTCATGTCCTTCAACGCTGTAGTACATTGAATCATAGCTCCCCTTTGCCTTCTCTTCTTGCCTCACCTTGGCCTCTTTGGGGATTTCCAGGTCCTCATTGCTTTTGGAGATCAAATTGTGGAGCTGAAGTGTTCACCTCTAAGAACCTGAGGTGTCTTGAGCACGCCCCTGTTGTTTGAACACTTAAATTGCCAGGTTGTGGGCACTCAGCTATATTTTTTTTTCCTATCCTTTGGGAAAAAACGTATCTTTTATGAAAACTAGAAGACAACTTTATACTAAGATTTTAAAGCACTGTGGGCTTTTATTGAGTAGTACTGAAGAAGTAGTAAAAATTGCATGCTTTGTCCGTCTTTGCTTTGTTTCCTCTTTTGGCAGAAGTTTGTTCCTTTGGGGTAATTTAAATTCTTCTTTAGGAGTTCAGGACTTGCCTTATGAACAGAGGACATCTTTGCAGTTTCGAGCTTACTTTGACTGATCTTAAATATAGATGCTCCTGCTCCATTTTTCTGTTACAGGAATGAGATTCTTCCCCATATGTTGAATATAAACCTTAGTCACCTGTTCTTTGTGCATACTAGTGGGTCACTCTCCAGACAGGTCATGAGCTCAGGGCCTTTTTTCAACTTCATCACTTATAGAAGTTTAAAGGATAGAAGGGGATCTTTCTGAACGTTTTGCATTCTCTTTCAGAGAGTGGCTTTTAGCTGTCTGTTAGTAAATATCTTATAAATAAGTAAAATAAATAGCACTTGTAAAAAGAGTTGTTTTGGTACATTATGCAGGGATCATCACTGGAGGACATACTGGAGTAATCAGACCTGTTCTGGGCAGATGGAGAACCTGAATGTTCTAATGGGTCTCTTCTCTCTTTAATTCCTTTTATTTGCTTGCTAATGGCTCCACATGGAGAGCTGGTGCCATGTGTAGTCCCATTACCTTGATCTCAGGGGCTGAGCCAAGGACTTTTCATCATCTCATAGGCGTGATAAAGTTGTCGTTGCTATCTCAGCATGGTTTCTCATGCCCCATCGATTTTAAGGATTGCAGCACTATAGAAGGTGGTTGGTGCCAAACTCTCAATTTATGTAAGTTGGTGCAATTCCAACAACGTATCTCTGCTCAACATATCTCATCCTGGAGCACTACCCTACCACCTTTTAAATGCACAAGGCTTTTTTAAGTGACACATCTGGGTTTTAACACTGTCCTCTTGCGTCTCTCCAGAACAACTGTATGACTTGAAGAGTCAGAACTGGTATACGATCTACTGAGAGGGATTTTCCATGCCCATCACAGAAACTGTGCTGAGCTCTTCTTGGCTGATTCCAAAATATGAGAGCTCAGTTGCCTTTAGGTCCAGGAGACCTATGTTTGTGTTTCAGTTTGCCATTTCCCATGTGAGACCCATGTCAAATGCCAACCTTGTGACTGCCTCAGAGTCTATATCTCTCAGCTTGTCCTATAGGAAACACTGACCTTTATATAGGAATGTCAATATTGAGTTTGAATTGCAATATTAGATACAATTTTAGGGTAGGTCTTGATCCTGAGTAATTGTCTGCCCTGACCGACAGTCTCTTTGCTCTACTCTTGCGTTTCTGCCGCAGATCTTTCTATGTGTTTTTATTGTTCGCAGTATTAACTGAATATTAAAACTCTTGAATTTATCCTAGTGTGCGTGAAATAGTATGTGTTTAAGGTCTTGAGCAATTTTGTGCAACAGGAAAAAGCTCTCGCTACTCTCCTCTACTCCAAAGAGTACAGTAGCAAAGGTCTGTCCATATTGCAAAGAAGTGCCTGCATATTCAATCTTTGCCTTCCATCAAGCTCTCATGTTTGCATTTAGGGAGACCTTGGCAGAAGAGCCATTTCACTCTGAATTGGGCAACATATATGCTGCATTGGAGATTGATTTGTAGAACCCAGGAAGAGAGGGATATGTTATTGTAATATCTGTGAGATCACTGCAAGACGAATGCTGTGCTCGTAGAGAACAGATATTAGTGAATACTCTTGATCTATTCTTTAAAAACACTCTGCATTCAGCAAAGAATAGTAATTATTAGCTCAGTTATAGGTAGTTCCTTGAAGCTTTATCTTAAAGAGTTGCCAACTGCTGCACTGAAATCTACTGTTGTCGTCTACCATAAGGCTGAAAATAACACAGCGATTTTCAAGCTTCTTTTGATTATTCATGTTGTCTGGGCACATAATTACATTTTATGCTTTTGTTAGCTTTTGCTGTAAGCCCAGAGAAGCCCAAAAGGGAAGTGCAGATTCAGTTTTGTCTCTCAGTAGAAAAAATAGTTAAGCGACATGTTCAAAGTTGCAGACCGAGTTGCAGGCAGCAGAGTCATTAAAATAAAGGATTTATTAAATTTCCAGTGAAATACTTAAGCTGTGTCACTAATCTGTTCTTTTTCCTCCCTAAAATATTGAAACATGACTGGTAATGGGTTATGAGTTTTTATAACTGCAAATGTCCTGACAAAATTCCAAATGTAAATAATGAGAAAGTAATTTATTTAGCATCTTTCATTGTGGAAGATCTTGAAGTGCTTTGCATGCTTGATATGCTAAACGCAAAAGCAGTAACCTCCTATTAATTTGAGAGTGAAGTTGAGACACTGAACACTCAAGGGTGTAAAAAGGGTAAATTTTATTGTATAGCTTAAAGAATAGCGAACATAAGGGCTATATTACACTTTTGAAGTACAAGACCCCCACTCAGCTTTTTAAACTTTTGCACTGATTTTTTCTTAAATCTTAAGTCATTATGCACTGCAAAACAAAACATGATTCCAGCGTCCAGCTATTCTAATGGATCACTTAGAGCTGCTATATCCTCTCCTGATACAAAAGCACAAGAAGCTCTCTGGCTCAAACACACTAGGTAATCACAGTAGAGCACTCCTTTGGCATATGTGAGCCAAAACGTAGGAGAGTATCAAACTCTGAATGATAGAGCAGGAAAATATGAATATGAAAGATAAAGATGGAAGAGTTCAGCCTCTTAATTCTTGTCCTGAGCAATTAATGGTATTTTTATGAAATTTCTTGCCTCTTCAGTGAGGGCATGATTCCAGCCAGACGTGCTTCATGCAAACGTCCATGAGTCTTGAGGGATGGACCTTCCCACTCCTCCTAGAGCTGCCCAGGTCTCCTGGCCCAAAGCCTCCAGCCCTGAGAATACTGTGCAGTTGCTCTAACATTGAGAGTTAGAAAAATTGGGAATGGTTCAGTCAGAAATCCAGGCATTGGTAGTGTTGACCGCTGTGGGTCATTGCAGGGATATTTGAAGTTATTACTGAAAGAGGATGAAGGATCCGACACTTCCTGCTGTGAAGGAGAGTGTGGAGATTTGTGCATCTTCACAAGGAACTCCCTCTGCCCAAGAGAATGTCAGGAAGAGGCTCACTAGGAAATATAACCACTAAGTTGTTTTCAAAGAAAGTGAATTAAAAAAGAACAAGAGGAGAAATCCAATTTTTTTTTTCTCTGAACAAATGTACTACTTCTTTATCTTTTCTTTCTCTCTTGTTGACAGTGACCTCCTTGGAAAGAAGCCTTAGATCTCTGGGGACCTCAAATGATACTCAAGAGCTACAGGATGGACTGTGAGTCTGTTTTGAATTGCTACAGGTCTTCTTTTGTCCCAGACTTTTCATTTGTAACTCATCTACCCTCACTCTTTCTTCTGTCTTCATTGCAGACAGACAACTTTTTTATCAGTTTATTTCATTTGCTTCCTTTTCTTGTCCATGATTAATGATGGTAGGACATATATTGATTGTATAAAGTTTTGCCTGTGCTGGTTTGGGGGGCAGAGAATGGTAGGTAGATCGCAGGAAATGATGGGCTGCAATGAAAGAGGTGTTTTTTGTTTTTTTTTTTTTTTTAATGTGAGGACAGCCTTGAATGCTTGTATAGCTTTCTCCTTTCTTTTTTTTCCCCCCACCTCTTTTTTTTCCCGGCTCTTTGGTAAAGACGGTGAATCTAAGAAGAGAAAAGAGAGAAGGAGCAAGAAAATAAAAAGGATATTTTATAGGTGGAAAACCATATGTTGTGGTATTGAAACCTGCACCACAGCATCACATGACACAACACAGAGAAAATGAAAGGTTCACTTGCAATAGATGCAGTTCATTAAACTCTCGTCTGGGTATGTGTATACACAAACACGCACAGTTAGTTTTCATTATATGCATGCTAATTAGAGAATTAAAATGGCTTTTTCCAAATGCAGCACAATTTATTAAAGCTGCTTCGCTTAATGTAACCAGCATGCAAAAATCAGTTACTTAGGACTTGCTTCTGATTTTGTGTGTGCAGCTCCCACTGAGGTTAGGCTTCAAACAGAGGGGGAAAATTTGATTTCTATTTCTTTTTAACATGATTTAGTCTGCTGAGGAGGAAGTCCCATATTTCCTCAGATTTTACACATCCAAGATTTTCAAAATAGGTGTTCTTACTAGAACATGCCATTGCATTTAGCAGAAAAAAAAAAGAAAAAGAAAAAAAAAGTAGTTTTATATTTCATAAACATGCCTGACGGACTTGAATGGCTTTTCTAGGTTCAGTTTAATCTCTCAGATTGGTTTGTGATCTCCCTCTTTCTCTCCCCAATCCATTGCATTCATCTGTGCATCAGATCTGCTCCAATTCCCATATGCACTGTTTCGCAAACTTCAAGAATAAAAATAACAGCAATAATAATAGCCACAAGATTTGGAACTAAATTTGGGAAGCTGAAGAGGATGTCAGAGTAAGAAGTCAGCCTGTGTAGATCGATGTAATTGGGAAAAATGTTTACATGCATGGAATTATTTGCAGCATAAACCACCCTGGTAACTGCTGGAAATCCCTAACCCAGATAGGCTTTTTTATCACCCAGTGCAACTATTGTGCTAACACTCTCAAACTATTCTTTATTTTATTCAAGAATCAATTCCCTGACTCTTCAGAGCACTTAAAAAATGTGTAGATAATTTTCTTCTTTCCTGAGCAGTTACATAAATAGATGGATAATGCAGTAATTACAATAATTATTTTTGATTTTGGAATTATCATTAATTGTCCACATAGCTAAACATAGCTTTTTTGTTATTATTATTTTAACCATGCTTCCCTGCCCCCATCATCAGCCCCACAAGTCCTGCAATTGCAGAACCATTCCATAGTATGCAAGACACATTGAATGTTCCATGAGCATCTCTGCTCATCTCTCATGAGAGCTGCACTAGACAAACCACCTCAAATTGTGAGAGCCAAGAGTGCTCTCTATATCTGTTTATGGGGCAGTGTTTTCTGCTTCTCCAGTTTGCAAATTGTGATTTAACCTCTTGCCTCTTTGCTACTTGACCTCCTGACTTCAAAGACTGGTGTATTATTCTCCTTGACCATCCTACAACTTGAAAAATAGTTGAAGAGCAACATGTCAACATTTGGTATATTCGTAGCCTTGACTGTTATAAAGGTTGTGTTTGAGGACATCTAAATAATAAAGTTTGCACATTAGTTTCCTACTAACTGAGTGACTGTGGGCTGTGGCCTTCTCTGAAATAGCATCACTCCCTTTGAGAGCTGAGAGCAGAATAAGGACTGTGTTTGTAGCAAATGAATTCAGGATAGTTCACTGAAACAGCAAATCCAGAAAAAAGTAAGTGCCAGGTGTAATCCATGTTAGGCATGAATAGAGCAGAGAGAATAACTGTCATTCAACCTCTGCATAGAGCCAGCTCAGATACCTGCATACCATATGCTTGGAGTTGGAAGTGCCAGAAAATTAAATGTAGGTGCATTTAAGAAGCTCTAGGTGGAGTTGGCTGAATACAGATAACTTGTATTGATTGGGAAAGAAGGGAGGAACAAGAGGAACAGGGTTGCAGTAGAAGTGGGGAGAAAGGCTTGGTCCAGTAGGCCAAGACTACTGATAGCATTCTCCAGTGATGCTTGACCACAAATAGCGCTTCCATGGCTTCAGGTGTTGAAGGTAGTTAGCTGTTAATTTAGGCAGCTACAGTTAATTGCCCAGATAAATCAGTCCCTTCAATAGGAAGTGAAAGCCACTTTCTGATCTTACTAGAAGGTAACCTCAAAAATAAATAAAAAAAAAAGAAACTGAAAATTAAAACATCCCTGTAGCCCGGGCAATGCGGCAATGCCCTCTGAAGAGTATGAATCACTTCCCCATGAACTCTGCCTTCCCACCTTCCCACGATTATTTGTTACGGACAAAGCATGCTGTGCATGATAGACCTCTTTGCCCAACTAAATGCAGTGGCACGGGTCCAACCATTCCCTTTTAGAAGGAAACATCAGCCCAGGTTGCAAGTAGGATTTGATGGCTCTGATGATTCCTCAAAGCCATGACACTGAGCTTCTAGTGGTGGTAAGGGTCCGAGATTCCCTCTTTATGTCCAGTGGAGGCTGACTGACCTGGACAGCTATCCTTACTCTCCAAATAAGCCTTCTTGAATTGCTCAGCCATGCAAGTGTGTCTCCTCATGTGTAGCCTTAGCTTAGTTTATACCAGGTACAAGGGGGTCAAGAACAGTACTGTGTTCTCTTACTGTTGTAGCTTGGTATTCCTTTTTGCGTGTGGGTAAAAAATTCCATGTTTTTTTTTTTTATGTCACAGTGTTTTGGGATCTTTTAACAGTCAATAGCAGAAGAATTTCCCTATTGAGAGAAGGATTGTGAGAAGCATATTGTAGAAACTTTTAGCACTAAACAGAATTTTGACTATGTCCTTTCTACTAAATGTGTTGGTTTCTCCTGCTTTGAAGGAAAGCCTACATTTTGGCATCCACTTCCCTTCCCCATCATGCCCCATGGACATGATATGCACACTTATGTTTTTTAATAGATTATTTTTTCTTTTTTTTTCCTACGATTGAGAGAGAGCTCAGTTCTGAATCTGTGCAGTGTATGAAAATAAGCATCCTTTTCTTGCAGAAGTTATATGGCAATAGTCACCTCTCTGTTGTAATTCTCTCCTGTTTCCCTGGGGAAAAAAAAAATCCTAGCACAGCAAGATCATTGTAGGAGAACCCAGAAGTATACAAATATTTCTGTATTTGAATTCTGGCTAAAGTGGTGCACCACAGAGATTTCCTATGGCCATAATCTCACTGTCACATATAAGCAGTAATAGCAAATAGATAGCCATGAAGTGATCACTGTCTACAGAACACTGATGAGGTGCAGGCTTTTTGATGTATAATACTTTAATGATTTTATTAGGGCTGTGCAGCAGAGCTGATTACGATGCAGCATTAGAAAAGCACTTTCAAAGTATTTCCAGCACAGGAAGCTCAGCTTGAGATCTGAGCTGCTGAGGGATGAAACGAAGATGATAGTCCTGAAAGAAGCAAAAAGTGGCTAAAACCTTAAAAGATATCTTTTTTTTTTTTTCTTTGGAGTTGCAAACTGTGCCAAAGTGCTTTCCTATGATAAAAAAAAAAAAAAAAATCTTCCTCACCTTTCCCCAAGAAATTTGCCACGTCAGAAATTTGCCAGAAGAATTAGTCCAGGTGAGTAAAACCACTCCATCCCACTCCATCAGTTCAGTTTACCAACACCACAGCCCTGAGTCAAATGAGACCTATGGTAAAGTCCGTAAGTGAGATATATGGGAAGTGATCTTGAGAGGAGAAGCATCTCTGTTCCAGCCTGAAACCTGTCTAAGCAACAATAATTGATTAAAGAATGACAATAAGTCCACTTGGGTTCATCCTTTAGCTGGTGGTCTGCTGGACTTGTAGATGGGTTTACAAAACACCTTGTCTTTCAGGACATATGTGTTAAGTCTAAGATGTGTGTAACAGCTAATGTGTAACAGCTGTGGCGTTTGCTTGACAAAGGCCATTTTTGTCATCTTCATTATGGATAAGGCATCTATAGATAGGAGTCTACGTGAGTTCAGTCAGTGATGTCTACTCACCCTAACCTGGTCCATTGGCATATTCTTGAGACAACTGAGGTGCCTCAGGGTTGGAGACACCCATGTAGGCTGGCAAGTTCAGCACAGGATTTGGATTATCCATTCACTTCTGAAACAATAACTGTAGGCCTGGTGGAACCCTAGGACATCTCAAGGACATCAGTGAGAGTCAAATGAGAGCATTTCTATTGCTAGTCCTGCAGCCTCCAGGGTAACTAGTTAAGAAAGGATTCAAATTCTTCCCTCCAAGCTGATACTAAAGCAAGAAGCATCATAACCCTTGACTTTCTCTGGAGTTGTGAGGTGACTCTCCCATTAGCTGTACTGAAATACCCTTTGGGATGCCCATCTTTCTGTACGTGTGTTCCAGAGAGTCTGAACGGTTGTTCTTGCAGTGTTGAGCCTCAAATGCTTTCATGAATTGTCTGAAAACAATACTTTTTTTTTCCCTTTTTTTTTTGCATTTTTTTCAGTTCTGCATGTTGTTTCTTTTTTTTTTTTTTCTTTTTTCTTTTCCTACCCTTAGGTTTGATAAGTTGGTGGGATAGCTCAGAAAATAAATATTTTATAAAAACATAGCTCCTTCTCCTTCTTAATTCTTGTGGAATGGAGATTCATCCAAAGATGTTTTAAAGTCATAATTTGCTGAGAGAAGATTTTTTTTAAGTATAT